AGGAATCACACTCTGACATGGATTTGGCTGGAACGGTGAACGGGTTCGTTTTATTTCTCCTTTCCTTGGATCTCATCCCTGAGTCAAATGCTTTTCCGCTGGGACCAGTGTCAGAAATCTCGGTTCGAAAGTGCAAGTCATCCAATTACAGAAACTTGCTCCTTCGACGATGTTCGTATTCTCCCTCTTCTCCCACGTTCACTCCGGAGTCTCATACGCACACGCGTGGAACAGTTTCTGCGATTATCCCGGTTCAAACATTGAAGTCGCCCAACAGCAGATTCCTGCTCCTACGCCAATGTTCGTATTGATTTACTTCTTATACCGCCAGCCCAGAGTCTCATACTTGTGCGGTTTGGACAGTTTCAGCAATCAATTTTATTGGAAAGTTGACGTCGTCGAACTTCAGCTTCCTCCTTCTCCACCAGTGTGCGTAATTTATTTCTCACTGCCCTGTCTCCAATCGAGGGTCTAACGCGTCCGCCGTTGGGATAGCTCCGAAGATAAATTCGTTTCCAAAGTGGAAGTCGCCCAATTGCAAGTGTCTATGGGAGACGACGACTCCGAATAATCAAGCCATCGAGATCCAAGTATGTTGAGGCTGTTTACCTCTTCACCTCTAGCAATACGAATATTGACACTTATGATTTCGGATAGGGTAGCCCCTCCCTTTACCTTTTCACGGCCCATCCGTGGGAGAGGGCTACAATTTCAATCATTAAAGAGGCACACAAATCTCGAGCTTCTTTCGCCTACTTTCACGGCGACAAGTATCTCCATATACCTGTCTTCGACATGTCTCCGCCTCTTTGTTTTATTCATCTCGTTCTCGTTCTTCCTCGTTTCGTTTCCATCTTGTTCGCATTCTCAAACTCTTGCCTACAGTGCACAGTCTCAATTGCTTCTTGTTTGAGCTTCTGTCTGCATCTGACATTCTCCTTCGGAGTGTCTCTTGGCTTCTTCTATTTCTTGTCCCCTCTGAAGTCTCGTCCACTGAATCTTACCTCCCTCTCCATCTTCTCCATCTCCGAGTACCTTCTCGGCTCCCTCCCCACTTCTCCACTTAGTAGCTTCTCATGTCACATAGCTTGATCTCTCAGAGTTTTCTTCGCTATTTCTTCGTGTATGCCAATTTGACAACAACAACTTGACTCGACCTTCTTGATTCGACAATTCGACTCAACTTTCTTGATTCATTTTGTTTGCTTCGGCATTTCTCACTTTTATCGTCTCTATCGTCTCCTTTTTCGTTTTTTGTCGCTTGATTTCTTGTACATATAAGTTATAAACGACTGTTGTTGTGAAGAGTAGAAGAGCATAGTCGTTACAAGTAATCAAGCTATATTATATCAAACCTCTTGTCACAATGTCGGAACTTCATGGCCCGTTCGATGTTTCTGGAGAGCATGGACTCGACATCCATTAGGGGCGATCGAAAACTTTCAAAGGCAGATACGGCGAACAAAATCCTCATTACTCTTTTTCCGTAGCATGAACAGACAGCAGAGCTTTATCTAAACGAGCGACTTTCGCTTGGCCGGAGAGCCAGAACTTTGTGAGGGCGAACAAAGCTTTAGCTGCCTCTCTTCTTCCTTCCTGCGTCCCGAGTTCGTACTCCTCGCTTTGAATAAGGTAAACATATTGATCGGTAGGCAAGACTGGAGAGGTCCCCGTGGTTGCAGCCAGTAGAAGTTCTTGAGGGAAAAAGGCAACAGAAATGTGAAGGCGTGAAAAGGTCAAGCACAGGGCGTAAGCCTATTATTGTAAACAATGTCAATGTCTTAGATAGAACATATGAGTTGAGGGACACGAACCTCTTGGTCCTGCATTCCATATTGTTTCACATTAGCCGATATCTGAGAGAGCATTGTGCCGATTTCCTCCCCGTAATACTTTGGTGACGGTCCCACTAAGAGCTTAGGCGCTGAGGATGAAGGTGCCGACGGTCCATCACTACTGGTGGAGCTGATTCGTGATGGCATTCGGCTGCCAGTTGTGCCTTTTGAGAAAGGTGTAGAGTGCTGGATATTCCTTCATTAGCTGAAGGCTAAAGCGGAGAAATCCGCACCTTTGAAATGAACGAAGCTATAGGCACTTCATCCTCAGAACTTCTTTCACATCCATTCCAGCAGACTTCGCGGTGCAGAGGGACCGTCCAGGCCACGCCTCCCAATTCAAAACTGCGTTCCTCCTTCGTTTCCCTGGTCATACTTATGTCCCGTATGTAAACAAATATCAGACAACAGCTGTGGAAGAACAAAACGTTGAGCGTACACGGACTCTGTGAACAAAGCTATCTTAGAGCTTTCTGCCAGAAGCTCGAATATCGGATCGGTCATGGCTGCTAGCAACGCCTCACCCTGGATGTCGTCCATTGAACTACTGCCAATTGACAAGGACAAGCCTTCTATGGCAGAGTCAAAGGCGTTGTCTTTGAGATCAATCTTCAATTTTGGATTCTCCAGTTGCTCCTGTGTGGGCCGCGAAAAATCGTCAACGTATTTCTGTTCGACTACCACGGTATCAAAAGAGGTCTATGCGGCATCGCAAACACTGCACCGTTTGTAAGATTAAAAAATTGAGAAGGGAGAATCCTTTGCAAAGGTATGCCGGATATTGGGACTACGCGACACGCTTTGACATGCTCGTTGTTCCAATGGTCGACATTGGTGGAGCACTTTTTTCCAGAGTGCCTCCTAACAACGGGTAGTTCGCTCACTCGGCAAGAAGAATACTCAATAAAAAGAGGATTTTGAGCCACCTCTTTTTGAAGACTCATATCAAAGTGTAGATTACTTCTGTCCAGTATTGTTCCCATCGTTGGATGTGACTTGTTGTGGTTTGGGAAGCAGTCTATGATGATAGGCTTGTGTGAGAACACAGAGAGAGAATTGTTTTGGCATCTCGCGGAGACGAAGAACGTGCAGCTTTCACGTTTATGTATCAAAGAAGTTACGCCGCTTGCCCTTGTTCTGGCTGGACAAAGGAAGGAACGCTTCCGAATTTGGCAAGACCATCAACAACTCTTCATCATCGTTCATGTTCCTTGTAAGTTGCACAAGTAGGACACTTCTTAGTAAAGCGAAGCATACTTTAGTAGCCTGAGAAGCTTCACCGATGCATCATCTTCCAGAATATCGTCGATTTAAGCATCAATAAGTTCATCTGCATGGTGAACAGAGAACCCATGTCACACCACATAGAGGTTTGTTTCTGCTGAATATGTATGAAAACACTCTGATGGAATTTCTCAACTATCGACTCGAAATGTACATGAATGACACTGAATAAAATTACTTTTTGACATTTCCCACTTGTTCGATCCTCGCGACGTATTCTGGGAAGTTGCTCTTCAGATTCTCAATATATTTTTGCCTCGCGGCCACCTGGGCTGGATTGAGGTTGTTGTGATTGAGCGTGGCGTCGAGTTTTCCAGCCTGCAATGTCACAAATCAACTCTTCGCCGGATATTCTAACCCGTTGACTGAATCCGTACCTTTTCTAATAGTCGCCTAAACCATTCGCAGCACCTGACGAGGGGAACTTGCGCGCCAGTGAACCTGGGCAGCAAAGCATACTCTGATTCTCCCCTCAAAATATTTCGGACCATAACCTTTGTGACGTCGGCAGGTTGAAGGGTAGGGTTTACGCTTTATGCCCAAACCCGAAGATCAGCTCTAGTCAGTGTTTAGGAAGCAGAGAAGGCAAAGTACAATTGGTTGTCGCTGTCTGCGAGATTGGCTCCCATCTCTGTTTGCACCTTTCCGGGGGCAATAAGAGTGGTTCGAACGTTTGAAGCGTTGTACCTTTCACAAACTGTCAGGTTGAGAAGTAGAAAATGAGATAGCACGGTACGTTGCTACAAGCTCGATACGTAGCGTCTCATGAAGCGCCAATGTAGCGGCCTTCGAGCAAGAGTATTGCGAGAGTCCTGGAATGGACACGAAACCCGCCATCGAAGCGACAGTGATGATGTGGCCATGATTGATCTACTGCTTTATCAGCCAGCCAATAAAAACCTCGCTATTGTTTGGCGGCTCACCTTGACTATGTGTGGGAGGAACTCTTTCAGGATCACCACGTTTCCAATGGTGTTGACACGGAGCGCGAATTCGTATTGGTCAATCGTCGATTCAAGGATCGAAGATCCGACAGCGACTCCAGCATTGTTGACGATTATTGTAGGTTCTCCCACCTTGACTCCGGATGAGAAAGGCGAATGGACTCGAGTAAGCAATTTGCGCACCTCGCTTCTGATACGCTCAGCAACCTCATGGACCATCTCTGGTTTCGTTACATCACACTTGTAATATTTCACTCCAGCTATCGCCTCCGCATCAGCACAGTTACAGGAGAACTGAGGAGTGTGCCTACGTTGGGGATTCCTCACCTCTGCCAAATCGAGGACCACGATCCTTCTGGTATGTTTCGAAATCCGCTCCACAAAGTCAGCTCCAATGCCGGTGCATCCACCTGTAACAAGGACCAAGTCCTTCCCGCCATCCTTTTCGAATCTGGCAGGGTCTCTCTTCGTCCCGCGATTCAAAGCGACAAAGTTGAGCCAGTCATGGACAGCTTTGACGAGCGCGAAGATTACGAGCGCCTTCACAGAATTCGGGGTACTCCTGAGGGCAGGCAGCAGCAGGTCTGATCGGAGGGACTCGAGGGACAGTGGCTTGGGCAAATTATTCGCGAGAGAAAGGAGTAGGACGAGGAGTCCTCCCTTGAGCGAGAATATGGAGGAACCTAAGAAAGAACCAAGAGTATCTATGTTGAACGGCATAATGTTGGAAGATTTGGAGTGAATCTGCTGGGGGAAATAGGGCGGTGAGGAGCGAATTTATGCGTTTTTATTACGTTTAAGTGTAAGTGTGACTTTGGACTGGATCAGTGTCCCGTGTCCCGCTTTCAAGACTATTTGCCGGTAAACCCGCATAAGAAGAAAGCGATTGCCGAATTACCCGACAGCCGGGACAAAAATAAGAAAGGCAAAAAAGGAAACCTCAGATCGAGATTCGAACTCGAGTTACGGGAAGATTTTAATCTCAAAATCCCGTGTGCTAACCAACTACACTATCCGAGGCTCTTGTTGTCATTGGTCCTTCCGTCCATCTCTCAAGGAACCTAGAGAATTGAGGAGAAGAGGACGGACAAGAAGCAGAAATTTGAGCATTCGTTCCAGCTTTTTGTTTGTAGGTTGAGTAGATGAAAATATGGTTGCTTTCAACCATTACAACAAGAAGTCTCCCCAAAAACGACCACTCGCGGATGATCCACGCTAATAGTGACACCTCTGTTGACTGCTACTTGATGCTCTCTGACTGGATAGTGGAAAAGAATACGGGAAGAAAGAGGGAGCATGACTTTTTCACCCTGTCGTCTGAGGTGTTCTTGAGAACTCGAAATCAACAATAGCTGAAAGAGAGAAACTAATTCCTAATGGTCATTCGCTTTAACTAGCTTTGTCGTTTCCTTCTTTTCACTCCTGCATCTGCACTATTTCCAGTGTCTAATCATAGTGTCCCTGGAATTCAGCCACGACTCTCGCGAATAATTACAAGCAATTGCGGCAAGTTGTAACAAGAAGAATCCCCATGCCCTCACTTCTTCAAATGCGTATGGGTCAGACTTTGGGATGGCACGTAGTCCTAATCACTTCCTTGTTGATACATGGTTTTACAGAGCGGCATTAAAAATACTCATTATTATAGCAGCAGTAGATAGTAGCAAATGTGCTATCGTTTTTCTTCCTCTTCCAAAACTACGTCGCAAACATCTTAACTGCTCTTCTCCATTGACACCATAAGGAAAGACTCACGAGCGGTGAACCTCCTCACTGCCTCAGCTTCATCTAGCTCTTCCTCCTCCTTATCAACTGGAATTCCACTCCTCCCAACCAGAGCTTCCCACCAGCTCGTTGGCCGATCCGCACTTCCCAACTTAAACAATGCTCCTCCGACAGTATCTCTCTTCTCCGACAAGTCCACTGCACGCAGCCGCCGCTCAACCTCCTCTGGCTCCATAGAACCGCTCTTAAAGGCATCCAGGAGGTCTTGGAGCGTCGAAACCTGAGCGCGATGGCGCTGCAGAGCATCCTCCCGTTCTTGCTCTTTTGCTGTCAGTTCTACGACGAGACCAGTGATCGTCGAGACAAGGATGATTGCTACAAAAGACGGGAAGTTCCATACAGGCTGATACCATGGCCGACGAGGTGGTGGTGGAGCTGTTGAGTAGCGTAGTCTTGAGGAGGGAAGTTGGACAAAGCGTTGTTTCGGTGCCCGTCGTGATTCCAGAGCAGTTCGCGAGATAAGAGAGCGAGTTGGTGAGTTGGCGTGGGGTAGGCGGAAATGAGGCATATCCTAAGTAGCTAGCTCAGTGTACACCGTAGCACCTGGTTTGCACTCAAAGTGGAGAGCAGTTACAACAAAATAAACTTCGGAGGTTTGTTCGTTACATTCTGCTAAAAAAAGTCGACACGACAAGACAGGACGAGACATTCAGTTTCAACGTCTGGGATCCCAGTCACCTCCAATACGCAATTTCGACAAGTAAGCGTAGCAGTCATGAACACGTTGGTTGGAAGGTTGGCCATAAATGTGACGCGTAGGAGTGCCACACATAGCGCACCTTTTTCTGCTGTGGGATGCCACTCGCTGCAGAGTGTCAAATGTCAGGTAAGTCTCACAGTCTTCTTCTTCTGAGAATCTCCTTGAAAATTCCTATGCTACAATCTATTTTGAGGCAGAAGATACATTTTAAACATGCCTACCGCTTGTTTTCATTGGCATTACCTCAGTTCTATGCCCGCGTTGCAGTCGCTTTACTTTTGTTTTATGTCATCATAGAGAATTTCTACATCCTCGATTGACCCATCTGTGCTCAAGCGGAGCATGCGGATTGAGCTCTTCTTCTTCTTGAGTGCCTATGACAGGTCTCGTTAGTTCCTTTGCCTGTGTAGTGACAGTCCTGTACGTCTTCCCAGCGCTAACAACTACTTTTTCCATCCAGCGTCCAGTACGGACTTCAGGTGTTGGCCGAAGAAGCTCAATTCAAAGCCATCTTGGAATCCTCGGCTGTCGAAGATCATCTTCCTTCGCTCCCATCTCTCCCGAAGCTCAGGATAACGGTCCTACCATTCCTAAACAGCCAACCTTCGTGGTATTGGAGGAAGCCGACCTATCCGATAGCATAAAGGAAGTTTCTGAGGTTTCCAGCACCGACCCAGAGCCAAGCGAATCAAGTTCATCCTCCTCTACCCCCACACCATGGTTCGTGGATACCTCATACCTACCTTCCTCCTCTCTCGCATCAAAGTCAATTCCAACACCACCCATCGCACTGCCTTCCAACCTCGAACCATTACACGACCAACTCTGCCGTTCCGCTTTCCTCGATTCTGAAAGTGTCGCTTTCACGAAGAAAGATGGGGAGTGGCGTGCTATTGCCTGCATGAAAGAAGGGAGGGAAGGAGGGGTGAGAGCTGCAATCGGAGAAACAGCTGCTTGGGTGCGCTTTGTCTCTATCAAAAGCTCGAGGTGGCTTGTTAATGCTGAGAGGTAGATGCGCAAAAATCCTGAAGCTCCATACTCGAGGAACTTGCGAATCTCTGGTCTCGCTTCCCGGCGTGGAAGTGGTTCGACAGACTGGGCCATAATCGACACTGGTTACATGACCGTGCACATCATGACCGTCCGAGCTAGGATGTACTATGACCTTGACGGTTGGTCAGAACGCGCCACCGAAGAGGAGCGATTGGCATGGGACATTGATTATCAGTAGAGGTGTTTACAATTTTACTCTATGATATGGACATTCCACTGTGTATAGATACCAGCATAAACATCTTTTAATCCCACAAAACAAACATCCGTTCACTGATTTTGTCCCCTTTTTCAAAGTTTACTTCCGATACCCTTGGAATGTATACACCAGAAGTCTACTCTGCCAAACCCAAGACTAAAGCAACTCGACACGGAACGTATACCTACGTCAGCTTCAGTTTCACTTCACGTGCAAGCCACCAGACAACAAAGACGAACCCTCAAGCTGTTCTTCCTATCGTTCCAGGGTTCAGGGTTTGTGAAATACTCCCCATCCATCTTAATCCTGTCATGACCTCCGAACGCACGCTCGTCAGAGCAAAGCACAATCTTGAACTTTCCGGCCATCTCCACTCCTAGCTTGTAATCCACGAAGGACTGATATGGGTGGAAGTTGAAGATGAACAGCAAGTTAGC